AATTTTAGGTTTTCCCTTATTCATGTTTTTTACATTTGTCCCTGTTAGTTCGAAATATATGTACCTATGGAAAATTAAAGACTCTTGCTTCAACACATGCCAGTTGTTTATATTATCTGCGATCGCATACGACGAACAGGTAATGTCAATAAAAGAAACGCTTTCGTCTCTTTGAAAAGTAGGTACTTCCCCATCATTGTGACAGACGAAATCCAAATTCGATAACATTTCCACAAGCATGTCGCCTCTTTTGTCAGTTTTTGCAGATCCCCAGATGACCGACTTTGCATTAAAGTCGCCCATGATAACGCTATTATTTTTGTCTTTCTCAATGTCGCTTTGCAGTTCTACTAGAAACTTTGAAAATTCCTCGAGTTTAGCATTCGGAGAGAAATAGCACCAGAAGATGTTGTATTTGTTTATTTTAACGCGCACGTAGCTATTTCGAGCTTCTATGTCGGATACTACCACTAGCTTGTTTCTTATAAGTATAGCCACATCCTTACGTTTGTCCGTAATCCACTCTCCCTGTTTTATACGATTTTTATTTGGTTCACATAACACTAACATATCCGCGTTCAAATGTGCTCCTGTGGCCAATGTAAGATCGTGTGCATTTCTTACCCTATCTATATTTATTTGTAATATATTTATTTTACTGCCCATCTTGATTTGGAGTTTGGCTTTGTTTTCGGACTTTCATCCTCCTCACCATATCTTTATATATAGGACAGGTCATTGTTTCCGCCCGATGTCTCTCACTTTTGCAGAGGTAGCATCTAGCTATATTTTTACATATATTAGCTATGTGATCTTTATCTCCACAGTTATAGCATCCAAGGGCCTCTTTATTTTGTGTGCATTCTTTACCGTCATGTCCCACCCTTTTACACACGTAGCACTTTGGCGGCGTTTGGAGCTCCTTCACTCTCCATCTTAACCATCCTGTGCCTATTCTCTTACTTGCTATCAGCTGATTCGCCTCTTCCACTCCCATTGCTACGAACGCAATTTTCTTTCCTGCTTGGTTTGTCTTGTCAACAATCCTAATATTAACTTCTGCTATCGGGTATTCTCCCCCCAAGTTCGTCCCTAAGCACTCCTTTTACCTCCTCTTCGGTAACCGTAGGATCCAGATCAATCAACATGAATGTTTTCATTCTTCTTCTTTTCGCAACTTCTGCTCTGTCCTTCAGCTTCGATCTAAGTTCTTCTCTAAATTTGTCTCGGATAGCCTGTTCTTTGCCCCGGACTCTTAGTAGGATCTGTCCTTTCTCACCCTTGGGTATGCTGTTAATACGTACTCCACCAGTTGCTACTTCCTCTGTCATGCTCCGAATTATTTCGGCGTACGTGGCTCCTCCCGTTGCCTTGACGATGACATAGGCGGTCGAACCGTCCTCCATAACTCTTCCAGATATAGAAACGCAGGTTATCATCTTTCCAATTGTTAAATCCTCCATCATTTCGAGTATTTGCGGGTATTTTCTCATGAGATTTTTAATTTTTCCATTCCTATCTTTCCTGTCTTTATCCAATATGATAATTACGTCATCTTCCGCTGGATCTCCCTCTGTTACAATTGAGGATACCGTGAACAATTCCTCTTCCCACTTCAGGTTTATGACTTCGCTAACTGATTCCTCATCAGCCCCGCTATCCAGTACATTTAGGATTTTCTCTTTCCTAGATATAACTTCTAGATCCGTATCTTTTATTTCGTATTGTGTACCGCAGTCTTTTACCGATTTTTTGGCTCGACTACACTCTTCCTGGTTTGGCTCCCTAATCGTTTCCTCACCTCTTCTATTATTATCTAGTACTGATCTGATATTGTCAGTACTCAGCTGACTCATTATACTGGCTATATGCTGAGTGACCTCTTTGATTTCGACCTTGGTATTTCTATTGCTTTCCACTTCTTTCTTCAGAGTTTTTATGCTCTTACTTAATTTATTCATCAGCGAGAGAAATGTTTCCTCTTTGGCTGCACTAACTCCAATAATCGTACTATGTTTCCTCACTGTAGGACTCTCTTCTTCCGCTCTAGGTCTTTTGGTTGCTTTACTTCGCTGCGTGTTCTCGTCCCAAGTGAGATCCAGGTAAGTAATATTTCCCGTCGGTGTACCCAAACTACCCCTGGATAGTTTGGTCGGTGTTCCACTCCAAACGTCTGGGGGTGAAATCGTAAGCCTGCTGAGTTTTGAACTTCTCTTGCTTGGCGTACTTGTAACTCCAGTAGCACTAGCCCGCACCGAGCCCTGGGAGACCACCTCCGGTGCCGGCTCTAGAGCAGATGCATGATGACGGTCGGGCAGAGCCTGTTCTAACACTCCAATCCCGACCGGAACTGGGGTTCCGGGCCCCTGCTCCGTAATTCCTGTTTCGTATATTTGTTCCGTCATACTTTACTTTTTGTTCTCATGATCCTTTACTTTGCCTAGTCGTCATATCCCCGTGTCGTAGAGTGTCTAGTCGGTATCCTTGATCATAAACCTTATCAATGCAAAATTTGCGCGCCCGCCACCCGGGGGACGCGCCCAGTAGGAGTTTGGCTTCTACCCTGGGGACCTGACCTGACCTGATCTGACCTGACCTGACCTTTTTTTTTTCTGTGAAAGGGGAAACCCTCATGGGCACCAGAGACATAGGTTCGATCGTCCCTGGTAGTGTCGGACTTTTACTGACTAAAACCCCTTTCTCGACCAGCTGTTCTCCTACCCCCCCGGAACCGCGTTAGCATTACTTCAAGGGGGTGGTTGGTCGTAATTTTTTGTTTTCTTGTCTTTTTTTCACCTTTCTTCCTTTCTTCTCCGTGTTTTTTTCCCTTCCTTGTCATTGTCCATGTTTTTTTTTATCACTTCCTCTCTCTTCATATGCGCATCTTTTTTTTTCTTGCTTGTCATTTTTCGTGTTTTGTTAATTACTTCCTCTCTCTCTCCACATATACATTTTTTTTCTGCTTCATTCACTCACCTCTTTTTCCTAATTCCATTTCGCATTCTTCTCACTCTCATTCATCTGTGACAATCAAAAATCGCAAGCTCTGCATCTTCTTCCACTTCTTCCTCGCAACACCAGCAAACTAAGCATTCAATCTTGCCTATCCTTTTCAAATAGGCCCCAAAACTCCCGTGGCCAGTGAGCACTTGGGAGTAGTGGTTAACCTCCCCGTGCCCCCTGCCGACCCATTCAGTGAGGTTCGGGATTAGCCGCCTTGTCCAGGCGGCCTTCTCCGTCTGCCTCCACCTTTCGCACCACGCTTGCATCAAATCTTTTCTCGCCTTCTCCTTACTCTCCCTTCCATTCATACTGTGCCTTTTTTTTGTTTTTCTTTTTTTTTCTGGGCATTATACGTTTCTTTGATGTGCACTTCCATTTCTCCACACAATTTTGCTGCCATCTCGATTGCTTCCATGATTGTGAAAGCTTCTGAACTCTCTGTCCTTTTGTATGGATCCAGCTTATCCAAGGACGTGTCCATTACTTTCTTTTTTCTGTCTTTCCTCGGACACTGAGTTACATCGCTGTACTTTACTGACCATATTAAGTCTACTGTGCACCAACGATGACCTTTCTCCTATATTAGTTGTTTTCTTTTTATCTTCACAGAGAGCCTGTTCTTCTACAGACAGTATGCTTCGATCTGCACTCTTCCTTTTATCTTTTTCTATTTTTGTTAAGTCACTCATCTTGTTCCCACGAGTTGGGACCTAATACAGTCACCCCTCAGCAGTGGGCCCTTACTGGGAGGAACGCATTTATACTGCAGGGTGCGATCGGTGCCCCACAGGTTGTAACGATTTCGCTGTCGGTTATTTTATAGAGGTTGTCTCCTTGCAGGCCGGCCGGTTAAGGCAAGCCCCCCGGTCGCGGGCCTCCGCAGACGTACCACCGCCGCGCTCAACGGTGGTTGTTGAATGCTGGCCGAGATTACAGTATGTGTCCGAGAGGCTACGCTCCACCTCCCGCCTTCGGGTCGTTGAGCTATGTCTTGTCCGTGTCCATACCGTGTCTGTTTTGCTAGTCCCCCCTCGATGGGCCGCCACCTTGGCGTGGTGAACTGGCTTTTTATTATTATTATTATTATTATTAGAGTAAGTTGATCAACAGGCACTAGTCCCAATTACAGACCAACAGATACATACAGAAGGTACAGATGTATAAAAACTACTGTCAAATTCATCACACAGCTATAAATTACCGCCTGACCCGGAAAGGTTAAATTAAAGCAAGAGCGGCCCATTCTTACTAGCTGTAACCAAGTCGTGTCGAGATCCATAACCGGGGTCCTCATCAGTGTTTTTATTCCTGGAGGTTGTCTCCTCCTTGCTCTATTTGGTCCGCGACGGCTATTTTATTTTACCGTAACCCGCCGGCAGAGCCGGTGCGGGCTTCCCCTATCCGCCACTGTTGTGAAGGGGTTGTGACTTAGACACATATGTTTCGATTTCCCGTTTATTTCACTGACCACATAACAAAACTTACAAGACAACTTTATACATGGCCATAATCACATGGCAACTTCTTCAGGACCCTTACACACATTCTCTCTCCCCCTTGTCTCTTCGTTGACTCCTCTATTTATCACTTCCTCGTAACGAGGGCAACTGACCATATTCTTACAAAATACAGAGGAGTCAACGATTACAAAACATTTGGACAAGCAACCTAATTTAATATAGCTAACAAAACTATGGCGAAATGAAATTATAATGCAACAATAACCTACTTTACTTTACAACACCACCCGGGGGACGCGCCCAGTAGGAGTTTGGCTCCTCCCCTGGGGACCTGACCTAACTTTTTTTTGTGGAGGGGAAACCTGCTATTCAGGCGCCCCCCGCTGGGTGTCATTGCGGGGGGGAGTGTGGGGTTCTCCACTCATCCTGAGTTGGCCGGACCCACTAAAACCACTCCTTGTTGCCATCAACATACCGGAAACGTCCCTTTGGGCACCACGTCAGCATGTTCGGCCTGTCTTGTCGTTCTTCTGGCACTCATATTCTCTCTGTGTCGTCCCTTTCGTCCCTTTCTTTCTGCTTTATTACCCGTGGTATATAATTTTCGATTAACTTCCAGTTCCTTGGACTTTCGATCATTTTTGTTATTACATTTCCAGGTGTGATGTTTATGTTTAGATCCAACTCTATCTCAGTTCTCCACCGTTCCCATTTCTCACACTCGAAAAAAGTATGTTCTGCCCTGTCCTCAGCTTCGTGGCAGTATGTACAGCTGCTGTCCTCCTTCTTTCCTATCCGCTTCGTATATGCCCCATATGTCTCATATCCCGCAAGAAACTGCGTTAGTGTGTAGTCTGCTCTCCTGTGGGTACACTCGAGCCATTTCGCTATGTTGGGAATAAGCTTTTTTGTCCACTGTGCGGTCGTCTTGTGTTTATCCCATATTTCCTGCCATTTTCCTATGGTCGCTGGTCTTTGAGTTGTCGCCGGTCCTGCTCTTACACCTAGTTTATATACCTCCGCCCTCTCCTCCACCATGAGCTCTATCGGTGGTATTCCAGCTATGACCTGTACTGCTTTCGTCGAGACTGTTTTATAAGCGCGGGCAACGCGTATGAGTAGTTTCCTCTGCGCACTTTCTTGCATTGTTCGATACTTTTGAAACCTGATGACCTTGTACCAGACTGGAGCTCCAAACAATAGAATGGACTGTACCGCGTTGTATAATAACTTTCTTTTCCAGTATCCTGGTCCTCCTATGTTTGGAAGCACTCCACTAAGCGCCGCCGTCACCTTATTGACTTTTTCCACAGTTTTCTTTATGTGCTCTCCATATGTCATTTTGCTATCTATCCAGATGCCCAGATATTTAACATTTTTTACGGGTACCACTACCACCCCATCCAAATTGAAAACTACTTTGGTTCTGTCTCTCTTGCCTCTCAGGATTACTGCCTCTGTTTTCTGGTGGGCCAACTCCAGCCTGTTTTAACTCATATTGTGCTTCACTATAGCCAAAGCCTCATTCGCCTTCTGTACCAATTCCTGCTCTTCTTCCGCCGCAACCATTAACGCTGAGTCATCCGCAAAGGCAAAAAGTTGGCAGTTTCTCGGCATCTTGGCCGTCAGCACCGCGTTATATAGCACATTCCACAGGGTGGGGCCCAACACTGAGCCTTGTGGCACCCCCGCCCCCCCTTTATTTCCATCACGCCTTTTTTCCCAAACAGAATTTCCCTTTTACACAGGTAGTTTCCAATCTACACATAATAAGGTCCCACGACGCCGTATTAAATGCATTTTTTACGTCCAGAAGTATCAGTAGACACCATTTGCTTTTTGTGACTTTCGGATCCTCTGTAACCGCTAGCACTGCCTGAACCGTTGCCCTTCCTTTGCGAAATCCGTACTGCCTTTCGGCGAGGTATTTCTTCTCTAGTTCCTTCGCCGGTCTTTCCCTGATCAGCATCTCGTATAATTTGCCAATGGCGTCCAATAGGCAAATTGGTCTGTAGGTCATCTCACTTTGTGGTCCTTTCATGCCTTTTGGTATGAGCACAACTCTTGATCGTTTCCATTTTTCCGGGAAATTCTGCGTCTCCAACAATCTATTTAGCATTTTAAGTATGAGTGTTGGCATAGCACTAGCCACCGTTCTAACCGTCTCCGGGGTCAATCCGTCCGGATCTGCTGCTTTACCAGTCTTTATTTTGTTTCTTGAGGTCTCAAGTTCGTCCGTGTCAAAAAGTTTTACTTGCGGTATATTCCGTCCGTATCTTTCCTCTTTGTCTTCGGCGCTTGGAAATAGTTCGCGTACGATCCTGTTTATCTCATCGTCATTTATGTTGTACGGTGGAATGGGCTTTCGCAGCTGCCTCATGACCAACGGGCGGAATTGTGTTTCATACGCTAGATCCAGTGCTGTCACGGCGACAGTTTGATTACAAATATATTTTTCGTTTGGACTATAGCAACATAATATAACATTTCAAGATCACAAATCTGTGGTCCTGTGTTTGAAAAATTAAAAAGGGCATCGAGTATTATTTTTTGAAGTAATATAGTAATATAGAAGTAGTTTTTTAACAAGCTGTAAACACTCCTAGCGACGCACTGGCTACGACCTTGTGGACCAGATCAAAGCGTCCCCGCTACTCGCCGTAAAACACACCTTGCTTCAACTGGGGAATTGCATCCGTAAGATAAATTTCCGCCTACTGCTCATGACGGTTTTATACGCGTTTCCAAAGGAGTTTTTCTTCAGTTCCGCACATGCGTTCTTCCAGTATTTCCTCTTTGTCTTTTTAATATTGCTGGCGAGTTCTTTCTGCAGTTGTCTCAATTATTCCTCAGCTTGTACTTCCTCTACATTTCCTTGACTTCTTCTTTTTCTTGTTCTAGCACATAATCTCTTTGCCTGATTACACTTCTGCTAGGTCTCTTCGATTTCGTGGCTCCACCAATATGGCTGAACTCTAGGTTTTCCTCTGTTATCCTTCCTTGTCACTTTTTTTTGTATATCTTGCAGCAGATCAATCATCTCTTCTGGGGAGTAGCATTTTGTGACGTCAGTTTTGTTCCGTAAAAGTTCCGCTTGCCGTTTCTCATTTATAAATATCTTGGCGGTTTTTCTCTTCTTCCTTACGTTTTTATCGTCTACCTCGAAATGTATATACTTATGTAGACTAAGTGTTTCTTTCTCTGAGACTTGCCAGTTGTAGGCATACTTACTCATGCCGCTCGTAATTAGGGTCAAATCGATATGTGATCTACTTTCCCCCCTCTCGAAAGTAGGGTTTCCTTGGTTTAATACCACCAAATTTAAAGTCGCAATCCATTCCTCTATATACTCGCCTCTTTTATCTGAGCTTGGTGAACCCCATGCTGTAGATTTCGCGTTGAAATCACCGGTCACTATTGCTTCTCTGTTTACTTACTTTGGATGCTATAATGACGTCCATCATTATAGCATCCAAACGTTTCTTAAAAAGTTCTAAAGTTATATTCGGCGATATGTAACACGAGTATATTGTGAACTTCTCCAACTCACATCGTACGTACCTTACCCCACTTTTACACACTTGTACCCCAATATCCTTATTCACACATAGCATGGCTGCGTCTCCTTCCTTGTCGGTCATCCATTCTGATGTCGCCGTCAGCTTCTTATTAGGCTCAGATACCAGTATCACATCTACGTTCTCCAGATCTATCTCTTTTCTAGCTAGATCATGAGCAGCCCTACGTCTTCCTAGATTGATTTGCAAAAATTTGACCATTCTTTTTTCTTTTCTTTCTTTGACCTGACCTGACCTGACCCGACCTGACCTGACCTGACCTTTTTTTTTCTGATGGAATGGAAACCTGCTCATCCAGGCGCCCCCCGCTGGATGTCAATTGCGGGGGGGAGTGTGGGGTTCTCCACCCATCTTGAGTGACGTACCCACTAAAACCCCTCCTTTCCTTTTCCAGGAGCACCCTAGTCCCGTTTTTGCACTTACCACAGGGTGTCCCAGCCAAATTCTGTTTTCTTCTATCTTTTTTCATCTACTTCTTTACCTTTCATGATTTGCTTCATAAAAACTTCAACAGAATGCCATCGTTCTCTGGAGGTCAGCATGACGGAAATAATGTTGTCAGGTGTCATTTTAATGCCAACATCTATGTTAGTTGATGTCCTTGTCAATTCCCATCGTGGACATTGGAATAATGTGTGCTCCACGTCATCCACCTCATTGCAGTACATACATTTATCTGAGTTCCTTCTTTTATTCCATACAGATACCTCATAAACGCACCGTGTCCTGTCAAAACATTGTGTCATGTTGTAATGTATTAGTTATTTTAGTGCCAACAGTTGGCAGCATTTTGGTTGGTCTCTTGGGCATTACGTTAGCGTCGGGAGAAAAGAAAAATGCAATGTAACAGAAATAGTTATTCACCCTCAAATGTAATGTTATTAGTAGTTGATTAATAAACTTTTAAATAAGTAGTAGAGACGCTACAACTGGCGACGAGAATAAAGTATACGAAGGCGTCACAAACAACACAGGAAGGTGAGGGAGCGAAGAAGTACCTAGTACGTGGGTCCGTACAAAATGGCGTTAATCGGAAGCATCCACAATTTCAATCCAAGAGGGGAGAACTGGATCCTATATGAGGAGCAGTTAGAGCAGTTTTTCCAGGTGAACAATATCATCGATGTAGCCGCAACCGAAACAGCGCCAGCTCAAAACAAACGGGTTGCTGCGCTTTTAAGTTTAATAGGGCCTGACACCTACAAAATGTTGCGAGACTTGTGCACCCCGCAGATGCCGAAGGACAAGACGTACGATGCACTGTGCACGCTACTGAGGAAACAGTTTTCACCGACCACATGCACGTATCGAGAAAGAATCGAATTCTACGATGCCAGGCAGGAAGAAAATGAAACAATCAATGAATGGTATGCAAGGATACACAATTTGGCAATTAACTGTGATTTTGGGCAACAATTGAACCACGTATTAAAGGACAAGTTCTTATGTTTGATGAAAAAGAACACCATTCGAGAAAGGTTATGTGAAGAGAAGCCGGAACAGACGTTAGAAAAGCTAGTAGAAATAGCACTGAACAGAGAGTCAACTATACTAGCCACGACCGGAGAGGTGAACATACTGCAGCATAAGAGGGGAAATGGATTTCCAGCAACAAGGAATCACCGAGGTACCAATGAAAGGCGACAAAAACAAGGACAAAACAAAGACCGACAAGAGAGCTCAAAAGGTGAAACAGTCTACACGGGTAACAGTAACGCCGGAAAATGGAAATGTAAATGTTGTGGGAATATGCACTCGGGACAGCAAAAATGTAGGTATAAAAATTACACATGTAATATTTGCAAAAAAGTGGGACACTTAGCTAAGGTTTGCTAGAGTAACAGAACGCAAAATAGCTTAGAAGTTAATTTAGGTAAGGTAGAGATAAATACGCTTAATGTAGACAATCAACAACCACATAACATTGTCAACCAGTTCCAGTTAAATGAGGTTAAATTTAAGGATGGTAATCCAGTATATTTACCTGTAAATATTAATGATATAGAGTTGTCACTATTAGTAGACTCTGGAGCGGCAGTTTCAGTAATTAGTGAACAGAGCTATTTCAAATATTTTGTTAATACGCAGTTAAGAGAAAGCAGCATTAGGCTGAAAACTTTTTCAGGTTGTCTGATTGAGCCTGTGGCAATATTTTTATAGAAATAGAGCACAATAATATAAAGCATGGTAATTTTAAATTAGAGATTATACCAGACAATGTAGGGATAAACGATATACTTGGTCGAGATTTTTTGAAATTATTCAAATATAGGTTAGTGAAAGAAAACGAACAAATGAACAGTTTAGATGTAAACACAATAGTCAACAAAATGGCAATAGAGTTTAAGGATGTATTTAGCTCAAAGTTAGGAGTTTATAAACATAAAATTTTCAAGTTGCAGATGAAGGACACGGCTGTTCCCATAGTCCTAAAACCCCGACCCGTCCCATTAGCGCACAAGGAGAAGATTGAAGCAGAGTTAAAACGACTAGAAGATGCAGGTGTTATAGTCCCGACTGAAAGCAGTGAGGGGGGCACACCATTAGTTCCAGTCCTCAAGAAAGACGGTGGAATACGATTATGCGGAGACCATAGGGTGACGGTAAATAAACACATACAGGAGGTCAGATACCCTCTGCCTCTCATTGATGAGTTATTTGCAAAGTTGAATGGAGGTAAAACCTTCTCAAAAATAGATTTGAGCAATGCGTACAACCAATTAGTTCTAGATGAAGAATCTTCAAAGGTCTTAACATGGAGCACGCACAAAGGCTTCTATAAAGTGACCAGATTACCTTTCGGAATAACCACAGCCAGTGCCTTATTTCAGAGGACCATAGAACAAACGTTACAAGGGCTAGATGGCGTGGCTAATTTTCTAGACGATATAATAATAACGGGAACGTCCACTGAGGAACACGAAAAAAATTTAAGGGCAGTGTTTGCTAAACTAAGTAATGCAGGATTTAAGATCAACTTAAACAAATGCAAATTCTTTCAAAAAGAAGTAAGCTTCTTAGGACACACAATCACTCAAGAAGGCATTAAGAAAAGTGACAATAAAATAATGGCAATATTAAAAGCCCCCACAACAGCCACCCACAACAGCCACCCAAGTAAAAAGCTTCGCAGGTATGGTGAACTACTACAGTAAGTTCACACCTAGACTTGCTATACTAATGCGTCCTATATACGATCTACTTAAAAAGAATGCCAGATTTGTATGGACAAACGCGTGTAATCAAGCATTCGAAGAAATAAAGAAGATTATCGCATCAGACGAAGTATTAATACACTTTAACCCAAAACTACCGATAGTTTTGACCACAGATGCGTCCAACGACGGTGTGGCAGGAGTGCTAACTCACAAATTAGGAAACGGCGACACGAAACCCATTGGGTTTGTATCCAGAACGTTGAGCATAGCGGAAAGGAACTACGCAGCCATCGACAAAGAAGTCTTGGCGATAGTGTGGGCTATCAAGAAATTTTCATTCTACTTGGTAGGAAAATCGTTTACGATAGAAACTGACCATAAACCGCTAGTTTCTCTGTTTGACAAAGAAAAGATGGATTTTATTTTTGTCCGGATTCAGTTATAACATTCAATACATAAAGGGAGCGAATAACAGAGTAGCAGATATGTTATCGAGACACCCAATAGATGCAGAATCAGGGACAGAGGAACAAGCAGTGCCGACAGTCAATCTAATCATATCAGAAGGTATTCCAATTGATGCTGAAACCATACACAAAGAAACCGTAAAGGACACAACTTTAAAACAAATCCACAAGTTCGTAATGAACGGTTGGCCAGAGAAGATAAACGATGAAAAGTTAATCCAATTTTCAAGAAGGAAACAACAGATAACGACCGAGGGAGGATGTTTATTATGGGGCGACAGGATAATTATACCAGAAGTACTAAGGAAGAGACTGCTAGAGGAATTGCATGCATTGCATCTAGGCATTGTTAAAATGAAATCAATAGCACGGTCGTACTTTTGGTGGCCCAACATGGACAAACAAATCGAGCTCATCACCAAAGCATGCAAGGCATGCATCATCACAGGAGACGATCCCCGGAAGACAGTACGAACACCCTGGCATCAAAGCTCAAAGCCATGGGAGAGAGTACATGTGGACTACCTCGGGCCAATAAAAAACGACTATTATTTTGTGATGATTGATAGCTTCTCCAAATGGCCGGAGATATTTAGAACGAAGAGAATGACGGCGGAAGTGACGATTCAAAAATTAAGAGAAAGCTTCTGCAGATGGGGAATTCCCGAAACCCTAGTGTCCGACAATGGAACTCAACTAGTCTCAAACGAAGTGGAAAAATTTCTGGAAAGAAATGGAGTACATCACGTAACAAGCCCTCCTTATCATCCCGCGTCTAACGGCGCAGCGGAGAATACAGTAAAATCTTTTAAGCGAGGAATGAACTCTGCGCTGCTGGATCCGAAAAACGCAGGGGTAGATCCGGATGTGCTAGTTGCCAGGTATTTGCTATTGTATAGGAACGCAGTACATAGCACCACAAAACAAAGACCGGCTAAGTTGTTGATAAATCGGCAAGTAAGAACGTTATTCGATATATAGCTAACGAAGGAAAGAGAAATCTGAGCAAGCCAGAACACCAGAAATTTGCAATCAATGAAAAAGTGTTCATTAGAGATTTCAGGGATTCCAATAAAATGAATTGGATCGAAGCCATAGTCACGAAGCAGATTGGCTCAAAAATATATGAAATGAAAATAGGTGACAACGGCAGAACAACCAGAAGGCACATAGATCACATAAAGAAGTACATCCCCACCAAAGAGACAGAACAACAGCCACGAAAACCTCGCTCAAAACAACCTGCGGAAAACTGCAACAGAGAGAGGTTGACAATTGCGTGTACTCCGAAACCTCCTGTGCCTCCTGTACGAAATCCCAATTTCATTATATGGTGTTATTTGTTTAGTTTATTACAGTAAAGGTGTGATACGTTAGGTAACAGACTTAGAGGGGAGGATTGTAATGTATTAGTTATTTTAGTGCCAACAGTTGGCAGCATTTAGGTTGGTCTCTTGGGCATTACGTTAGCGTCGGGAGAAAAGAAAAATACAATGTAACAGAAATAGTTATTCACCCTCAAATGTAATGTTATTAGTAGTTGATTAATAAAGTGTTTTAAATAAGTAGTAGAGACACTACACATGTAATATCCTACCTGACCCCATTTCCGTTTTATCCACGGTTTTATCTCTTTGATGAGTCTTCTTGTCCACTTACCATTTGGAGAAGCGTTCCATTCATTTTGCCATTGGTTTATTGTTTCTTCTCGAATGTCATCTCCATTATGTACGTCTCTAGGTGCCGTTCCTGGGCTGACCACCATGTCCTGTTTACCTTTCGAGCAAAACAAGGATCTTCTCTCTGCTGCCAATAGATGTAAGGGTATAAGACCCGCCACCACCAACAGCGCATCAGTGGATGTGGTACAATAAGCATTGCACGTTCTAAGTGCCATTATACGTTGTACCGACTTAATTTTGTTTTTGGTCCTCTCTGTTTGCATGGCCCTTTCCCAGATCGGGTACCCATATACAACGATTGACTGTGTTGCCATGGCCAATACTCTCGTCTTTTGGGATCCAGGTCCCCGTATGTTAAGCAAAATTATGCATAGGGCTTGTAACATGAAAATGTTACGACGATTTGAATAGCGCGCGCATTTAGAGAGTAGGGGGGTAGGAGATGGAAGGTTCGAGAAGAACGAGGCTTCGGTTTTGAGACGGCGACGAGAGAAGGTCGAGAGAAAAAGACACGGAAGTTTTGGGGTGTCGTTGTTCACAAAAAAGGGGTGAAAAGTTAGTGCCAAGGAGAGGTGTCATCCTGTCATCCTGGTAAGTCTGTCGAACCGCCGACCTGGAGGTGAATTAACCGCGTTCATGGACTGCTAAACGCTACAACCAACGGAACCCCTGCCCACCACATTTTTTTTCATTTCGAGTCATAGTTTTGTTTTATAATGTAATTAGTCGATTTAATTTAATTTGTATAAATAAAAAGAGCATTGGTGAAGTTGGGTGGTCTCAGTCCCCCAACCCTCCTTTCCATCATAACGACTGAGTGGCGCCCTACTATTTTTGGTTAGTTAGAGTTTAGCAACGAAGTTGAATCCAAGGTAAGTGCAAACACCACGAGAAGAACCCGCTCTGCGAAAGCAGCACCGGCGTGAAAAAAAATAAGAGGTTATAGGCTTTTGCTGTTTTACGCGTTTTCTCGCATGCAACCTCTATGTGCTTCCCAAAGTTTAGCGAACGGTCTAGTGTAATGCCTAAGTATGTGGTATTTTTACTGCTTATAATTGTGTCTTGTCCAAATTGAATTCAATGTCCTCGATTTTTCTTTTCTTGTTGAGTATTATGGCCGTGGTTTTCTCTGTCGCCGGTTCTAATTTATTTCTCTTCAGTCTCAGGTAGATAGAGTGTAGCACTTCGTCGGCTTTGATCATTAGCTCTGTTGGGTCCTTCGCCGTCACGGACACTGCCAAGTCGTCGGCATAGCAAATCAACTCGACGTCTTCTGGCGTATTTATGGCCATTATATCGTCGTATAGTACGTTCCACAGAGACGGTCCAAGGACCGATCCCTGCGGAACGCCCCCTCCCAACTTGCTTGATGCAGTTTGCCGCTAGGAGAACATTTCGGTCGGTAAGATATGATTCTATCAGGTTAATCAGGTATCCTTTGAGTTTTTTCTGTTTCATCCTCTTGATAATAAGCTCCCAAGACGCAGTATTGAAAGCATTCCGTATGTCTATTTATATCAAGGCGTTCCATTTTCCTGAGCCACCAGCTCGTCTTGCGTTTTCCACAACCAGATTCACGGCATCTATGGTGGTTTTGTCCTTTCTAAAGCCAAACTGTTTTTCATGAAAATCTCCGCGTTTCTCTATTTCTTCTAATAGCCTGCTATTTATGAGGTTTTCATAAACTTTTGCGATGGTATTTATAAGGCATATCGGACGGTATTTATTTGGTTCGTTTGGTGACATCTTGGGCTTCTCGATTAGTATCAATTTTGCGCATTTCCAACTAACTGGAAAGACATTCTCACGCAGCGAGTTGTTAAACAAGGTTTGGAAGTAGCCAAGGTTATTTCTGATTATCGATTTGGTAGCCTCGGGTGGCAGACCGTCGGGGCCTGGGGCTTTTCCATCTTTTAATTTGTTGCATGCTGATATACTTCGTCTTCCGTGAAATTCTCTCCATATCGTAACTCTTTGACCTTCTTTCTTTCTGGCGCCTTTTGTTTTTCCTTCATCAAGAATAACTTTTTAAATTCACTTTCTTTTTCTTCTAGTGTCAATGTTGTCTTTGGGTTAGTCACTTTCATTTGTGCCTTTATAATTCTATATCCTCGTCTAGTGTCTGGCACAGGGTCGCCCAAGCTTCCCTTTTTTCGTTACATATGGCAAATCTCGCTCTGTATTCTATTTCGAGTTTCTCTCTGGTTTCTTGTACTTTCTCCTTCTGGTACTTCCTTCGTTTTTTCTTAGTCTTCGCTATTTTTTCTTGTATGTCGTCTGTCCACCAGTTAGGCATTTTTTGCCCTTCTTCGCATTTCATTTATTTTTCGTATTGGTGGTTGTTTAAATCCTAAATTTAAACAATAATTTCTAAAATTTAAATTTCCTCTTTACGTCACCAATAAGAAGGTCAAGACCAACGACGCGAATGTAGAACGCTGAAACATGGAATTGCAAGCACAAGAACTACGAAACGCTGACCACCGCAAGAGCACCATCGTCAGCATTACGAAGACAGCGGTAATGGAACAAAAGAAAATACAAGAAACTGGGACGCAATATAAATTCATATGTCTTATTACCTTTAGTTTAGAACCACTCACACGCTGTAAATAGTTAGTTTTGTATAAATAAGTTAGGTTGTTTTGAATAAAATCAGTATTAAGCTTTATTGGCTTTTTACTCACTCCCACAATTCTACCCCAGAATTGTTCATGGTCCTTCGAGCCATTACTGAACCAGGTGCCACCTTCCAAGTCTAAAAATTAGGGCTGTGAGACTGCAGTCCAGTGGCACCTTCCTTAACATAGGCACCATTTCCAAGTCTACAATTTTCGGACCGTGAGACTGCGGTTCGGTGGTGTCTATTCCTTTTTACCCAGTGGCACCTTCCAAGTCTACAAACTCGGGCTGTGAGACTGCAGTCCAGTGGCACTACTCCTTTTTTTTTACTAGAACACCATTTCCAAGTCTACAATTTTCGGGCCGTGAGACTGCGGTTCGGTGGTGTTCATCCCCTAATCCGGTACCATTTCCAAGTCTACAATTTCGGGCTGTGAGACTGCAGTCCGGTGGTACCATCCTTACACAAGCACCACTTCCGAGAGAAATTTCGGTCGGCGGTGCCCTTTATCCCCAGCACGCCTTCGCAAAATTAAGGGTGCAAGAAAAAATTCGTCATGGAAGAATTCAACAAGAAAGCCAAAGAGCAAGAGGATTTGGGGAAGAAAATTCAAACTCTCCTAACCAACGCGAGGAAAGACCCCTCAAAAAGAAAAACCCAGAATTGGCGATCCAAAAGAGCAGAGCAACTCCAAGAACTTTGGAATGAGATTCAGCAAAACCATGAAGAATTGAAGGTACTAGGGCCCACCCTCAAAACTACCCACAATTATTTCGAGGTGAAGTATTTTGAACAGCTAAAAGCGTTGCACGAAGATGCGAAGAAATACCTCGAGTCAGTTCAGACGTCGCCCGACGTCGACCCGGAACAAGAAGCCCGCATCCGACGTCAACTATTCAGACTACAGAAAATATCCACCGAGCTGACCAAGATAAAGAGCGATTTAGATCAGGACTACAGCCGAGCCAGGTATGAACTTCTAGCCGAAAAAATCCAAGGTCAGTGGAGAAGCATCATGGAACTGCATGAAGAAATCTACGTCCATGAAAGGGAATTCGAAGACAAATATTTCGCTGACGAAATGTACGAGAAGGCTGAGGACAGGTACGAGGTTGTGGTCGAAAAACTGAAAGGAAAAATCCAGTCCCCGTCCGCCCATCAACAGGAGAAACCAAACATCCAATTACCCCAAATTAAGCTTCCAACGTTTAGCGGGAATTATGAAGATTGGCCCACTTTTCACGATCTATTCAGCAAAGTCATTCACAAAAATACATCGCTCTCCAACATTGAAAAGATGCAGTATCTGAAGACGTACATCAGAGATGAGCCCAGCAGAATCATTCAACATCTCCAGATAACAGAAAATAATTACCAAACTGCATGGGAGCTGCTGGCAAAAAGATTTAGCAACGTAAGGCTTACCGTAAGTAAGTTGTTAGACAAAATTTTGGATCAGCCAAGGATGCACGAAGAATCTGCAGAAAAGCTGAAAAAATTACATGACACGACAAAAGAATGTCTAGAAGCATTAAACAATTTAGACATTCAGACCGACACGTGGGGACCAATACTCACCAAAATAGTCTCTCAAAAATGGGACACAGAAACAAATAGGCTGTATGAACAGTCATTGACCAACCCACACGATATGCAGGAATTCGAGAAGATGATGGAGTTCCTGCAAACAAGATTTCTATCTCTCGAGATAATTACGGCAAAGAAAGAAGATGCCGAGTTTAACAAAGTGGAAACAATTTCCAACTTAAAATCATGCAGATATTGCCAAGAGTGCCATTCAATTTACGAATGTCCTGACTTCCAAGCCGAATCGCCAGAAGACAGATGGAGATTCATAAACAACGAACAGCTGTGTACGAACTGCCTAAGCCACGATGCAGGCAAACAATGCTTCAGCACAGCATCATGCCACAAATGCAAAAGAAGGCACCATACATTATTACACAACGACCGAAGAAGCAACCCAAAGGTCAACCAGCAAAAAACATTCGACTCAACAAACAAACAAACTCCAAACTCTGGAGAGAACTCAACGAAGAAAAT